TTGGAAATATTTGTTTAAATAGTATGGATTTAATATTTATAAGTACAAAAAATGAATTTCGAACTATTGTAGGTAGTCAAGTGATAAGATTTTGAAGAATAACCTACGAAGTTAGTAGACCAACATTTTAAGTGGTTGGTTTCTCGGATAATGCTGTAAAATCAACTCTGCATATATTATAACTTTAAAACACATAGAAAAATAATATTCAAGTCAGAACATATAATAAAAACCCATATGATGTATTAAACAAAATGAATCTTAATAACCAAACTGATAACAACCAAAACTTATTTCAAAAATAGTAAATACTGACTCTAAACGATGTAAAATAAATATTTTCTTAAATGTTTATACTATTCGAGTTGGAGATAAGAGTGCTTACTGTTGAAATAATCGCCCAGTTTATGTGTATATACTCGTACAATTGTGTTTTCATAAGGTATAACACAAATACGTTGTGTTCCTACTCTCAAGCGGCAATTTGTGAGTAAAAAAATAAATCGTTAACCCGGTAGAGATCCTGTTGGTATGTTTGACTGTATGAGCACTAACGACTAACCTTAAATCTTATCTGAGTATGATATACCTCACTCCTGAAAATAATAACAAATGAATGAGCTGAATTGCTTATTTAAAGTATACTTATTTTCTCCTTAATTAAACAATCGATCGTCATGGATTTCGTATAGATTTCAAGGAGAAAAAAGGCGGTTACCGCTTTGATGTACAGTATTTATCGAGTGTACCTCATCGTCATTGAGTTTGCACTGATTGCACTGATTGTACTGTTATGGATGTGTTGAGAAAAATGATAAATTGTTGAATATATGATGAAAAACGGTTCTGAGCGAAGATGGTCCAACTTTTTGATAACCGAATTCACCTAACGCCAATCATTTTAAAAATAATATTGTAATCTTGACAAAAATTCAAAACCAGACTCCTCTCTCAGAGCTTTTGATCTTTACTGTCGAAAATGTGTCTCCGGGCACGAAAATAAACAAACAAAAACCACACATGGTGGTATAATCAATACCACTCTTTGCTCCGCTCTGCAAAATCTAAGAACGCGATTTTTATTTTCTGATTATATTATCGTCTCTACCATATCCAGCTTATGGCATTTTTTACTATCCATCGCGAGTAGAATATAAAACATCCACAGTCAGATGGCTTAGTGCGACGTTTTAGAAACATTATTAATGAAAAGTGTTGTAGAATATATAAAACAAGCACTTTCGTTTACGGATAAAATTAAGATTTCCGTGGGGAAACGAAATAATCTTCGGTTTAACGTACAGCTACAATTATAACGGTATGTCACGTTGCAGGCGTCATAATATATTACTACGCAAATGCTCTCCGATATAAAGTAGCACCGTACTGCTGCAGAATCCACTTGAGTTAGGCGACGCACTTACCATAGTTGGTTGGCTGTAATATACGTCTAGTTACACAATCTGGCGTCCAGCAATTAATCAATCTCACGTGAATTCCTTTTCTGACGTCGGAGAGCTGAAGACAAAAAACTGAAAAAAAAACTAAATGAAGCCGTTGCAAGTGCGTATAATACACAATAATGAGATTCATCGAGCATGCTCAGCGTAGTCTCCGTATTTTTTTTTCAAAATGTATTTATTCTAATTTTGAATTGATTGATTTTTAAGCGTATACCTACTTATAAAGACCAAGTTTTAAAATTTTTGTACCATTTTATTATAGCGCCCTGCGAGGTATTACAAACTTCCTGTTTACAATAATTGAGAAACGTCCGTTTTTACTGTAAAATGTTAAGGAAGTGTATTTTCCATTGAACATTTTGATGATACATTCTAAAGTTGTAATACCTATACTATATAGATTATATATTTGGGTAAAA